TCTGTTTTAAATACTGCCTCTGAGATAAAAGGAGATTACAGCATCAGACCTCCCACAGAATTTGCCTGCCAGCTTAATTGTTTTATAAGCTTAGGCCCAGCCTGCTCTACCCAGGTTTTGCCTCTGTAGCTATACTGGTTCAAGAGCTGAAATTTTCTTAGACTTTTGTTGATGGCAAAATCTTAGATGACAATACAGCTATTCTCTCTTTTTGTCTGTGCCGTGGGGTGAGGGAGGTAGCGTAGCTGTGCAAATCAAAAACCAGAAAGAAAAGAGCAGCTCCTTCCATTAGCACGTGTTGCAAGCAATTACCCTGCAGGCAGAGTTCTAATGGCAGAGGCACTGTGGTATATAGGGGGGTCTACATCTGCCCATTTAAAAAAAATACTTCTGTCTTCCTTGCTGCTATGTAAAACAACCCAATAAACAGAAAAGAAGCAAATAATAACACAACTAATTATTTCCTCTTACAGGCTGTAAACAAAGGAGAGGGTGTGGAGGTGCTGTGCTTTTGATCTGTTATTTCAGTGGTACGGCTCCTGTTCCTCTACAAATCACTGACCACTTTCCTTTCAATGTTCCTTTCCTTTCCTATGAATGTTTACCTGCAAACTAGCAGCTGAGTTAAATGGCTACAGTAGCCTGAGAGACTATGAAGAGCGATAATAAAAAGGCAGCATCAAGATATCCCCGAAAATAAGCTACTTCTACGTGTCATGTAGGGTTTCTTCATAAAGTATTCTGTCCACAGAAACAGCTCAGTGCTGCCTGCCACACTCTGCTCTCCTCGCTGGGCTCCTGTCTCATTAAATATAGTTGGGGGTTACAAAGATGTTACTGGGTGCAAATGGAGCTGTGAGGCATTTGCTAGGAAACCCCCCTTTACCTACCTTCCATCTTTTAATTTCCTGAAGTTTATCAGGCATCATTCAGTTATTTTGCAAATCTGTAAGCAGGCAAGTAAGCCACTGCTTAAACTTGTGGAATGAATGGCTTCTGACACGCTAGGGTTATTGGATATGATGTTTTCGCATACATTCATTTTTAGGAAGTGAATTTAATTATAATTGAATGCAGCATCTTCATTCCCAGGAAATAGGACTTGCATTGCAAGAGTTTTTTAACATCTTTTGAAGTAAATATCACTAATGAATCCTAACGCTGCTATGCCTTCTCCATTTATGACATATAATGGGCTTTCTCTAGACACCACATATTAATAATACAGTAACAATGTGGCATTTGGACTGCTTAAATGAAAGTAAGGGGTCCCTGCTGATACCAGGTGTAAGGTGCATATGTCATCAAAGATAACCACAAACTGTGAGCACCATGTAAATAATTTTTATTCCTATCTATTAAAGGTGCAGAAATTGGAAAAGTTATCAGTTCAAACACTGTATAAACAACCTTGCAGTTAACAGAGAGGGGCAACAAAAATAATCAAAGTTGTGGTCCAGCTTCCACACAAGGAATGAATAAACAAGGTAAAGTTCTTCAGCCTGGAAAATGTGACTGAGGGAAGAAAAGAGAGAGGACTGTGAAATCATAGGAATAGGTGACTACAGAGGAATTTACTGAAGTTTCCAGTACAAGAATATCAAACAGTACAAGGAGGAGGCAGGTGCTGAACAAACAAAATGAGATAATTCATCATTGAACTCACCTTGGGCCATAGAGCATCCTGCTACAGGATGATGCCGATCTCAGAGGCTTACCTTGGTCCAAAATACAAGGCAAATTTGATTTGCTTGACTAATCATAAAATGTAAATGCCTAGAAAATAATGAAGGCACAAATAAAGGGAAAAATCTGTCAGAGAAAGACAGAAGTACATTTGCACAAAGTCCTTGTCTAACTGTCTGATTATTGGCAAAAATATAATGAATTTCTAAAAGTGTGGATTAACCAAAACTAAAAAGCTGCTATATAAATTGTTTACTCTCTTCTCCCAGTTCTAGTTATTACTGGAAAGAAACTGGAAAGAATACAAGTAATTATATACAAATTGAAAGAGGTTTGATAAATTATTTCTGGTTTTTAATAATTTCTTGAAATATTTTATCTTATGCTATAATATACAAACCAAATGGTCTCATCTTATTTTACTCATGTTTTTGTTAAGCTCAGCAACATTTTTTTCTAGGCTAGATAAAACAAAATAATATTGGATACTCATTGGGAGGCCATTACTGTATTTCACTTGATCTGTCAGCACATGGTGTTTGTGCATTTCTCTAGGTGGCTTTGATAGAATATTGCTGACTTTAATTTATTGTATTTGATGTATTTTCATATCCAACGACAGAAAGGTCACAGAGTAACAGGAATATTGACAAGTTTGGTTCTAAGCCCTCGGCCATAAAGTAAGCTTTAATGGTGAGTGTTTACAAAAGCTGGACCGATGGGAAGCTAAAAGAGCTGGTTCTCCATTGAGGACAGACAGAAAGAAAAATCTTGGTGTTGCAAAGACGTTTACACGGATAAAAAGCACCGCTGTGTTTGCCTAGGGGGGAAAAAATACCTTGCTGCAAGCCAGGCCTATTTTCTTCAACTAATCTCCAAGGAAACAGGCTCTGCCAAGCTCGGATCTGATTACCAGTTGCAGGCCTCAGACCACAGCCATTATTGTTTTAACATTTCTGCCTTCCTCTTTATCCCAGCGGGAACCGGGCTGTGCGGGCTGCCGTGTAACTTGACCTTGCTTGGAGATAAAAAGACAGGTTAGCGCACAGTCATCGCAGAGCCAGCAGCAAAAAGACAGTATTTAGAAAATAAAGGAAGGAGCTGGCACGGTGTGATTATGTGTAATGTTCTACGCTGTGCGGCGTGGGTGGCCGAGGAACGGTTCCCGTCCACGAAACCCAGACAGAAACTTGATCATCGTTTCTCCATTTTTAACCTTGTCTTTGCAGAGATGCCGTGATTTTCATCACAAAGATACTAATGATGATGATTTCCTGCGACATTTGAGATTATGAAAATGAAGAAAGAAAAATGGAAGGAATAAAAAAAAATATATACATAAAATTTTAGTGCTTTTGCTAAACTGTGGTGGTTTGGGTGGATTCACCCTTTTGCTTGCAGCTTGCAGCCAAACACAGCCTGCTCTATCACCCCCCCTCACCCAGGGAGTAGGGGAGAGAATTTGGAAAGAAGGGCAAGGACTCACGGGTTGAGATAAAAACTATTTACTAATTAAAATAAAATGATAATGATAACAACAGTGATAACAGACTATAC